GTTTGCAATCGTGTCATTACGATTTCGTGAGTTAAATATTGATTCATTGAGTTTACACAATTTCATCATTTTGGAAAATTTAAACGGCGTACAGGTTCCTATGAATGTGAAAGGGATCAATTTTCCTTAGGCAGAATATATTACAGCCGGAAAAATCAATAATAATTCCTCAGAAATGTGGAATTAGCCATATCTTCCTATTTTCAGTAGTGTTGTAGAGGGCCTGGCGAAGTATTTTTATGCTTTGAAGTCCCAAAAATACTTTCAGTAGTATAGACTTATGGGTTTAGCGCTTACAACCCCAGAATCGGTATTAGAGCGTCTGGGGGGGGGAGAAGCATTTTTTAAATTGGGTTATACAGTATATATTTAGACTTTGTAGACTGACTGATCTCACCTAGGCCCCCTTGATCTTACCTAGACCCCCTTGATCTCACCTAGACCCCCTTTATCTCACCTAGACCCCCTTGATCTCACCTAGACCCCCTTGATCTCACCTAGACCCCCTTGATCTCACCTAGGCCCTTTGATCTTACCTAGGCCCCCTTGATCTCACCTAGGCCCCCTTGATCTCACCTAGGCCCCCTTGATCTCACCTAGGCCCCCTTGATCTCACCTAGGCCCCCTTGATCTCGCCTAGGCCCCCTTGATCTCACCTAGGCCCCATTGATCTCACCTAGACCCCTTTGATCTCACCTAGACCCCTTTGATCTCACCTAGACCCCCTTGATCTCACCTAGACCCCCTTGATCTCACCTAGACCCCCTTGATCTCACCTAGACCCCCTTGATCTCACCTAGACCCCCTTGATCTCACCTAGACCCCCTTGATCTCACCTAGACCCCTTGATCTCACCTAGACCCCCTTGATTTCACCTAGACCCCCTTGATCTCACCTAGACCCCCTTGATCTCACCTAGACCCCCTTGATCTCACCTTGACCCCCTTGATCTCACTGACCCTTGACTCACCTAGACCCCTTGATCTCACCTAGACCCCCTTGATCTCACCTAGACCCCCTTGATCTCGCCTAGACCCCCTTGATCTCGCCTAGACCCCCTTGATCTCGCCTAGACCCCCTTGATCTCGCCTAGACCCTTTTGATCTCGCCTAGACCCTTTTGATCTTGCCTGAACCCCCTTGATCTTGCCTAGACCCCCTTAATCTTACCTTTACCTCCCTTCCTCCCCCCTTGCGCCACCACTGCTCTGCAAATTAGTAAGGCTTATACCTGGAGTATGCTGCATAGTTGTGGTGTATAAATACTGTTTGTACTATCAAAACTTGTAGAATTAGGTGGTGTTAAGTAGGATAGGGACGGTATAGAACTGGAGAATCTGCTATATGCATTATGAATGCATATAGCAGGGGAGAGTAATCTCCCCCGAAGGCATAGATTACGTAGAACTGTCGGCCTTGGAACCCACCAACGACCTTCAGTAGCTGTGTGCAATCTGTTATTGCACGTGGTTTCCGTGGGGATGTTGGTGGGTTTCGGGCTTTGGGTAGTGGTTGTGGTGGGTGTTCTACGTATTTTATGCCTTTGGCCAAACTGTACAAAGTTAAATATCGATTAAACCATACCACGGGTGGGGATAGAACCCACGGGTTCTATCCCCGCCGGTGGTATGGTTTGTTTGCAATCGTGTCATTACGATTTCGTGAGTTAAATATTGATTCATTGAGTTTACACAATTTCATCATTTTGGAAAATTTAAGCGGCGTACAGGTTCCTATGAATGTGAAAGGGATCAATTTTCCTTAGGCAGAATATATTACAGCCGGAAAAATCAATAATAATTCCTCAGAAATGTGGAATTAGCCATATCTTCCTATTTTCAGTAGTGTTGTAGAGGGCCTGGCGAAGTATTTTTATGCTTTGAAGTCCCAAAAATATTTTCAGTAGTGTTGCCTTGTGGGTTTAGCGCTTACACCTCCAGAATCTGTATTAGAGCGGGTGGGGGGGGGAGGAACATTTTTGAAATTGGGTTATACAGTATATATTTAGACTTTGTAGACTGATCTTACCTAGACCCCCTTGATCTTACTTAGACGATCTTGATCTTACCTAGACCCCATTGATCTTACCTAGACCCCCTTGATCTTACTTAGACCATCTTGATCTTACTTAGACCATCTTGATCTTACCTAGACCCCCTTGATCTTACCTAGACCCCCTTGATCTTACCTAGACCCCCTTGATCTTACCTAGACCCCCTTTTATCTTACCTAGACCCCCTTGATCTTACCTAGACCCCCTTGATCTTACCTAAACCCCCTTGATCTTGCCTAGACCCCCTTGATCTTGCCTAGACCCCCTTGATAATGCCTAGACCCCCTTGATCTTGCCTAGACCCCCTTGATCTTGCCTAGACCCCCCCTGAGCTTGCCTGAACCCCCTTGATCTTGCCTGAACCCCCTTGATCTTGCCTGAACCCCCCTGGTCTTGCCTGAACCCCCCTGATCTTGCCTGAACCCCCCTGATCTTGCCCGAACCCCCCTGAACTTGCCCGACCCTCCCTGATCTTGCCCGAACCCCTTGATCTTGCCGGAACCCCCTTGATCTTGCCGGGACCCCCTTGATCTTGCCCGAACCCCCTTGATCTTGCCCGAACCCCCTTGATCTTGCCTTTACCTCCCTCTCCCCTTGCGCCACCACTGCTCTGCAAATTAGTAAGGCTTATACCTGGAGTATGCTGCATAGTTGTGGTGTATAAATGCAGTTTGTACTATCAAAACTTGTGGAATTGGGTGGTGTTAAGTAGGATAGGGACGGTATAGAACTGGAGAATCTGCTATATGCATTATGAATGCATATAGCAGGGGAGAGTAATCTCCCCCGAAGGCATAGATTACGTAGAACTGTGGGCCTTGGAACCCACCAACGACCTTCAGTAGCTGTGTGCAATCTGTTATTGCACGTGGTTTCCGTGGGGATGTTGGTGGGTTTCGGGCTTTGGGTTGTGGTTGTGGTGGGTGTTCTACGTATTTTGTGCCTTTGGCCAAACTGTACAAAGTTAAATATCGATTAAACCATACCACGGGTGGGGATAGAACCCCCGGGTTCTATCCCCGCCCGTGGTATGGTTTGTTTGCAATCGTGTCATTACGATTTCGTGAGTTAAATATTGATTCATTGAGTTTACACAATTTCATCATTTTGGAAAATATAAAGGCGTACAGGTTCCTATGAATATGAAAGTATTAGCGTTCAGAATTGCAGTTGGTATTATAGTAAGTAGTGAAGTCTAACGCTTCTGGCAGCAGTATGTTAATGATGAAAATAATGAAAACCTCTGATCTGAAGTTAAGTGTTAGTCGGCAGAAAGGACTGATTAACCTCTCATACTGATGAGTATAGTTAGGGTGTGATTTAGATTGGTATTAGCGAGAATAGGATTATAAGCCCTACTGGGTTAGAAACCCAGGAAAATAGAGGGGGGTTGAGAGAGTGGGGGCTTGAATGTAGTGGTAATCAGGTTGTGCTTAGGAATGCCAGCCATAACTGGCAGGTGTTAGGAAACTGGTATACGGCAGGCCTCCAACTGGTTAGATAACCCATAGGGACGTGGAAGTGTAGGGAAAATACGATGTTGTTGTCTTGGGATCATGAAGGTAGTTAATGTTAAATGGATGCCCCTCAAGGGGTCTCTTTTTACTAGTGAAGGTATCTTGATACAAGCAGTTGCAAGTATCCTCCCCTTCCAAGGATCAAACATGTTAGTGCTAACATTCTCCAAGCTGTGTATAACGCCTATGCATGTGTCTAGATATATTATCCACTTGGGGAAAATAGTTTGAATGGGGGGGGGAGGGGAGCGGTAAACTATCGGGGCACAGGTCGATGAAAGTCAATCAGGCTTGATTCAGAGGAGAGTGCAAGTTTACTTTCTATCGAGATTTTACCATTTAAATATAGGCGTCTTGATATCCCTTAGAGTAGGTTTGTCTAGGTTGTAATGTTGGAGGGTAAACTCCCTAACTTGTTTAATTACCGCAGAATCATCCTGACAGTCTCCAGCGTTCTTTGATCATCTCTGTTAGACAAGAGTAGCCGTAGCCTGCTGTGTTGTGCACGATGAAGTGTTTGCAGTGAAGTGTTGTGTCGGTAGACGTACATCTTCCTGACAGTACAAAGGTCATAAAAAAATGTATGATACCTCAAACTACTAATAATGGCAGTATTGAGGCTGTCCGCCTCATTACTACTATTGTTAGTAGGGTTGGGGTAGGTATTTTTTTTTTTTTTTCCCCGAGCTTAAAGCTCCCGGATTGTGCGATTGTTGTCGTCCTGCTGACAAATACAGCAGTTGAGGCTTGTCTCAGTTATTTACTGTTTCTAAATTTCTTGTGTGTTCCTTGAACATTGCTGTGATAAAGAAAGACAATTTATTGATTACATTTTAATTAATGATCTTAAGTTTATCGAATCTTGTAGGTTGAAGATATTCCCCATGTGGGCAGCTGCTGTGTGGTGAAGGCCGTGTTGTGGGCAGCTGCTGTGTGGTGAAGGCCGTGTTGTGGGCAGCTGCTGTGTGGTGAAGGCCGTGTTGTGGGCAGCTGCTGTGTGGTGAAGGCCGTGTTGTGGGCAGCTGCTGTGTGGTGAAGGCCGTGTTGTGGGCAGCTGCTGTGTGGTGAAGGCCGTGTTGTGGGCAGCTGCTGTGTGGTGAAGGCCGTGTTGTGGGCAGCTGCTGTGTGGTGAAGGCCGTGTTGTGGGCAGCTGCTGTGTGGTGAAGGCCGTGTTGTGGGCAGCTGCAAGTCTTCAGAGATGTCATCACCAGCAGCAACACGCCAAAACAATGTCTGCAAAGATAAAAGTATGGACATTATTCACGAACTGCAGTAAGTAATAGTTTGATGTCTATGTATTTAGACTGCTTCCTTCAACATTTTGTAGAAAAAAATTGCTAAAATATTTTCAAAGCTGATCTATCAAAAATTATCATGAAATTGGTGTAATCCAAGTTTATTAAATTACCACAGGTGGATGGAGCTGGAGGTGTTGATGGGGTCGTGGCTGGTAGAGGAGTGACTAGTGGCGCCACTATTCTTGACCTCTATGGCTAAATGGCGCCACTGACCTGGAAGAGGGGGATGACGTCAGGTTGTGGAGAGGGGGAAGGGTCGGGGGTGAGTAGTTAGCTGTTACTGGTGGGAGGGTGATGGGGAATGAGGTAGGGGGATGGTTCACTTGGTAATTACCAAGGGACTAACACAGTCTTGTTACTGTGTGTTAACGTGGCTTGAACCTTGATATTTGAAACGCCCTGGACACTAGCTCCACATACTCGTAATCCTATGAACAATGTCTATGGACTCGTGTTGAAAACAAGTCTCCTTGATGTTGGGCTTACGTATTTGATATCTTTTGTTGGTTTAGTGCCTAGTCTTGATCAGGGCCGGATTTAGACCTTGCTGACGCTGGAGAAGAAGCTTCCAGCAGAAAAGTTATGTGGAGAAGCAGCACAGAGTATCAGAAGTAACAACGTAGCACATAAACGAACCTGTCCAGAGACCTCTAGAACCGGATATACTTCCTGAGACATAGTGACAAGTCAAGGCAACACCTCCCAGCAGTAATTTCTAGCAAATTATGATCTTAATTAATGTAAATGGCGTGTGTGAGGATGTAAAGAAGACCTAGGTAGGGAATGTGTTTTAGTTATGAGCTATATGTGGCTTTTATTTAAGAGCACGAAAGGAAAGGATGAGGCTGCCTACATGTTCCTGGTTATATTGTGTCGACAGATCCCATGAAAATGGAAGTGGCTCTCGTCGTGACAGAGGGGTGCCTTTTTATTTTGCATAGATGTAAGAAGGCGGTGAGTGGTAGTGTTAAGGTTTGTGGGGGCAGGACAGGGTTATCTGGTAACGTGTGTACTCGCCTAATTGTGGTTGCAGGGGTCGCGACTCAGCTCCTGGCCCCCACCTCTTCACTGAGTGCTACTAGGTCCTCTCTCCCCCTGCTCCATTAGCTTTAACATACATCATCTTAAAGCTATGCATGGTTCCTGCCTCCGCTACCTCACTTGCTAGGCTATTCCACTTCCTTACTACTCTGACTGAAAAAATACTTCCTGACATCCCTTTGACTCATCTGGGTCTTCAACTTCCAATTGTGACCCCTTGTTTGTGTGTCCTCTCTCTGGAACATCCTGTCTCTGTCCACCGTGTCTCTTCCACGCAGTATTTTGTATGTCGTTATCATGTCTCCCCTAACCCTCCTGTCCTCCAGTGTCGTCAGGCCGATTTCCCTTAACCTTTCTTCGTAGGACATTCCCCTTAGCTCCGAAACTAACCTTGTAAACCTTTGCGCTTTCTCTAATTTCTTGACGTGCTTGATCAAGTGTGGGTTCCAAACAGGTGCTGCATACTCAAGTATGGGCCTGACGTACACGGTGTACAGAGTCTTGAACGATTTCTTACTAAGGTATCGGAACGCTATTCTAAGGTTTGTCAGGTGCCTATATGCTGCAACGCTTATCTGGTTGATGTGTGCTTCCGGAGACGTGCTGGGTGTTATACTCGCCCGAAGATTTTTCTCCTTGAGCGAGGTTTGCAGTCTTTGGCCACCTAGCCTATACTCTGTCTGCGGTCTTCTTTGCTCTTCCCCGATCCTCATGACTTTGCATTTGGCAGGGTTAAATTCGAGAAGCCAGTTGCTGGACCACGTGTCCAGCCTGATCCACATCTGATTTAATTCTCCTCATTAACTTCACATCATTTGCGAACAGGGACACTTCTGAGTCATTCACATGTACCAAAAATAGTACTGGTTCTAGGACCGACCCCTGTGGGACCCCGCTCGTCACAATTACCCACTGTGATACCTCATCACGTACCACGACTCGTTGCCTCCCTGTCAGGTATTCTCTGATCCATTGCACCGCCCTTCCCGTTATACGCACCTGATCCTCTAGTTTCTGCATTAATATCTTGTGAGGAACTGTGTCGAAGGCCTTCTTGCAGTCCATGAAAATGCAATCGACCCACCCGTCTCTCTCGGGTCTCGCTTCTATTACTTTATCATAAAACTCCTGAATGTTTGTGACAGGATTTGCCTTCCATGAATCTGTGCTGGTTGTCGTTTATACTCTTTTGTGTGTGTACTCACCTAGTTGTGGTTGCAGGGGTCGATTCATAGCTCCTGGCCCCGCCTCTTCACTGGTCGCTACTGGGTCACTCTCCTTGCACCATTAGCTGTATCGTACCTCTGCTTAAGGCTGTGAATGGATCCTGCCTCCACTACATCGCTTTCCAAACTATTCCACTTCCTGACTACTCTGTGACTGAAGAAATACTTCCTAGCATCCCTGTGATTCATCTGTGTCTTCAATTTCCAATTGTCCCCTTGTTGCTCTGTCCCATCACTGGAACATTGTCTCCATCCACCTTGTCAATTCATCTCAGTATTTTATATGTCGTTATCATGTCCCCCCCTATTTCTCTTGTCCTCCAGTGTTCGATTTCCCTTAACCTCTCCTCGTAGGACATACCCCTTAGCTCTGGGACTAGTCTTGTTGTAAACCTTTGCACTTTCTCTAGTTTCTTTACGTGCTTGGCTAGATGTGGGTTCCAAACTGGTGCCGGATACTCCAATATGGGCCTAACGTACACAGTGTACAGAGTCCTAAACGATTCTTTAAGATGGCGGAATGCTGTTCTTAGGTTTGCTAGGAGCCCATGTGCTGCAGCAGTTATTTGGTTGATGTGCCCCTCAGATGTGCCTGGTATTACACTCACCCCAAGATCTTTTTCTTTGAGTGAGGTTTGTAGTCTCTGCCCCCCTAGACTGTACTCCGTCTGTGGTCTTCTTTGCTCTTCCCCAGTTTCAGTTTAATATGTTTATTATGCACCCCATACCCATCCTGTGGGCGGTAGTCAAAAGATTACAGAGGTACATAATTGGTCCAGGGACTGGACTCCAAACTTTTGATAGCTGAGCAAGTTACAAAGGTAATGAACTAGATCTGGTCATAATCATGACCAAGTTACAAAGGTAATGAGCTCCAGGTAGAGCTGGTCACACTCATGAATAATTGCAAAGGTAATGAATCATAAACACATTAATCATGAGAATTTACAAAGGTAATGAGCTCCAGGTAGAGCTGGTCAAAATCATGACAAGTTTCAAAGGTAATGAATGATAAACACGTTATCACATGATTACAATCATAGACAAATTACAGAGTAATGAGCAGTTAACAAACATAGCAGGGAATTCATCCATTGCCCCAACAACAGATGTTGCTAGGTGCCTGTCTCTCCTCGGTAGACAGCCATTGCAAACAGCAGCAAGTTGCCCCGGGATCTGCTGCTTGCACGAGCACCATCGACCCTCCCCAAGAGGTCCAAGAAGCCAGTGGCTCCGTTAGCAGCCCGATGGAGAGCTGTCCTAGGGACATGGCAACGTCCTGGTGGACGCCAAGTTGACTGAAGATCCCAGACCCTCGTGTGCACGGATGTTGAAGCTTGAGGAACTGAGTACACACTGCCTGTGGCACACCTGACAGCTGCCTCGCGGTCGAACTCCACGATGCTGTCCCTGTAGTGGAAGTTCCTGTGAGCCCGGCACTCCCTGCAGTGCCATCGCTGACATCGTGGGTTAGGGGAGAAGTACCCTCTATAGATGGGGTGGCGCTGGTAGTTGGGTGGGTGAGGCGGGGGAGACGGGCAGGGGCGAGGCGTTATGAGAGGGTCACTGTTTACTACACACGCCCTCCCCCTCCCCCCCAGCGGAGAGGGGGGGAGGCGCTGACTGGTCCTGACTCAACAACACCAAACCTTCTGCACAACACTTCAACTATTTACGCTGAAACGATGCACTGGGAAGTCCGTTCGCTGCTCTGGTATCTTCTCAAAGCATTCACACTGAGTTCTGTTAAGTAGGGACCTGGTCAGCCTCTTTGTCCAAGAGCTATCCTTGAAAATCCCGCAGCTAGCCCGCTACACAACCTGCCGCGTCGGCCATGTTAGGGAGTGAGTGCTCTTCCCCAATCTTTATGACTTTGCACTTGGTGGGGTTGAACTCCAGGAGCCAATTGCTGGACCAGGCCTCCAGCCTGTCCAGATCCCTTTGTAGTTCTGCCTGGTACTCGTCTGATTGTATTTTTTTTTCATCAACTTCACATCATCTGCAAACAGGGACGCTTCGGAGTCTATTCCTACCTTCAAGTCGTTCACAAATACCAGAAACAGCACCGGTCCTAGGACTGACCCCTGTGGTACCCCACTCGTCACAGGTGCCCACTCTGACACCTCGCCTCGTACCATGACGCGCTGGTGTCTTCCTGACAGGTATTCCCTGATCCTTTGTAGTGCCTTCCCTATTATCCCTGCCTGGTCCTCCAGTTTTTGCACTAATCTCTTGTGTGGAACTGTCAAACGCCTTACAGTCCAAGAAAATGCAATCTACCCATCTCTCTCTTGTCTTACTGCTGTGTGTGTACGTACTCACTCTCCTAATTGTGGTTGCAGGGATCGAGACTCAGCTCCTGGCTCCACCTCTTCACCGATTGCTGCTAGGTCCTCTCTCTGCTCCCTGAGTTTTGTCATACCTCGTCTTAAAGCTATGTATGGTTCCTGCCTCCACTACATCAGTTGTTAGACTATTTCACTTTCTGACAACTCTATGATTAAAGAAATACTTCCTAACATCCCTTTGACTCGTCTGAGTCTTCAGCTTCCACTTGTGACCTCTTGTTTCTGTCCCCACTCTCTGGAACATCCAGTCTCTGTCCACCTTATCTATTCTGCACAGTATTTTGTATGTCGTTATCATGTCTCCTCTGACTCTCCTGTCCTCCAGCATCGTCAGGCCGATTTACCTCGACTTTTCTTCGTAGGACATTCCCCTGAGCTCCGGAACTGACCTTGTTGCAAATCTTTGCACTTTCTTTAATTTCTTGACGTGTTTGGCTAGATGTGGGTTCCAAACTGGTGCTGCATACTCTAGTGTGGGCCTGACATACACGGTGTACAGTGTCTTGAACGATTCCTTACTAAGGTAACGGAATGCTATTAGGTTTGTCAGGCGCCCGTATGCTGCAGCAGTTATCTGGTTGTGTTATCTGGTTGGAGACGTGCTCGGTATTATGCTCACCCCAAGATCTTTCTTCTTGAGTGAGGTTTGCAGTCTTTGGCCACCTAGCCTATATTCTGTCAGCGGTCTTGTTTGTCCTTCCCCAATTTTCATGACTTTGCATTTGGCGGGGTTGAATTCGAGAAGCCAGTTGCTGGACCACGTGTACAGCCTGTCCAGTTCTCTTTGAAGTCCTGCCTGATCCTCATCTGATTTAATTCTCCTCATTAACTTCACATCATCTGCGAACAGGGACGCTTCTGAGTCTATCCCTTCCATCATGTCATTCACATATACCAAAAATAGCACTGGTCCTAGGACTGACCCCTGTGGGACCCTGCTCGTCACAGGCGCCTGCTGTGATACCTCATCACGTGTGTGTGGGGGGGGGGATGTAAACAGCATACAGGAAGCTTTACCCCAGAATTCCTACATCCGGCGAGAATGTGGAGCGCGTTATATATAGATAAAATTTGTGACTGGGGTGTGTGTTCATTGGTTGACTTCCCCTGCAGCTGTCTCGGATCATTTGATAATTGTCTGGAGCTGCATGGGATCAACCTGTGGTTAGTCTTGTCGTACTGGAAACTCGGCATGAGAGTATTAGAGGATGGTGAATCCATCTACAGGTTTGAGAAGTGGAGTTAAAATCAGTATATGGGAAGTGAAGGTGGTTTGGTAATGTGATCGAATGCGTAAAACTTTTAAGGGTAGCGAGTGAGAAAGTGTAAGATTGAAGGCGCATCTGATGTTTCCAGAGCCTGGGAGGGTCCTGAGTAGGATGTACTACATAGGCTCAGTTGGTAGCGCACTCACCCCACACACTGAGGTCTTTGGTTCGATCCCCGGTACTGGTGGAAACAATGTGCATGTTTCCTTAAGACACGTGCTGTCCCTGTTCACCTTGCAGTACATAGGTACCTATTTGTTAGCAGACTGGTGTGGGTCGAAACCTGGGGACACAACCTAAGTTCCCCGAAATGCTCTGCATAACCAGGGGCTTTCTATATAGTATGTCATTGATGTCGGCTAGGTCTAAGTTGTATTCATGTACTTGTGGAAATAAGATTATTATTATTACAGGGGCGACGCCTTCTGTCGACTGGTATGTATATAGAAAGGTTTTGTCATTGCTAATTTTCCCAGTAGCGAAGAAAATCATGTACAACTTCCTACATGGTATTTTGCCAGCAAGAGTTGTGCTCCTGTACAGAAAGGTTGTAGTGTAGCCTCGGCTGAATGCTGAGTATGGGCGGGAAGAGGTTTTTGTGTACCACGTGTACTTTTGTGACAAGTTGAGTAAATTACGTAAATGGATTTCAGTGTGTTAGCATGTATGGTGGGACGTGTGAATGTGGCTTTTCTGCTGGGGTTATCATTGAATTTGGTGGTATTTAAGTTTCGGTTAGGGCAGCAACATGTCTTAGGTGCTACTTTGGCTTGTTATCTACATGTCATGAATCTACACCTTATATTGCAATCAACACGGTACCTAACCTAATATTGTGATTTACTATGTAGATATTCAAATTAAATTTTGTACTGTGCAGACATTTTACCCGAGGTGCATGCTGTTTATTTTATAAGTCCAAAATAAAATTCGGACGGTGTAGATATTTTTTCCTTGTAGATAACAAGCCAAAGTAGCAACCATGTCTTACTGGAGTGTGTGCAGTGTTGGGTGTCCCGTAGCTCGATTGCTAGCGCACTCGGCTCACACTGAGGTCCGGAGTTCGAATCTCCGGTAAGGCTCGAAAGCATTAGGGACGTGTTTCCATAAAACACCTGCTGTCCATGTTCACCCATCAATATAAAATGGGTACCTGACTGTTGGTCGACTGGTATGGGTTGTATCCTGTGACAAAAAGCTGACCTAATTTGCTCGAAATGCTCTGCATAACAAGGGGCTTTCTATATTGTAGTATGTCATTGATGTCAGCTAGGCCTGTATACCTTGTACGTGTACTTGTAGAAATAGAGATTATTATATTATGATATACTATGAGTGCTGTATCATGCGGCTCACGAGTTTGTGATACGAAGGCGTTGTTAGCCGCCAAACTTGACCCCTTTGTTGGAATAGGGTAAGAGATTTCGGGTCCTTGCCAGGTAATGTTTACGAGAGACTGTGGCACTGGGATACAGTGCCAAGGTTGTGGCTAGGATAAATGTTTTAGGGTTGAGTGTGTCTTGAGTGGCACAATACATCATTTATAATTAATCCATGTTGCTGTTATTAAAGACTTGTAATGGATGATATGTACGTTAGGTGGTTTCTCATCAACACGAGGAATTATGTCATAAGATAATCTGATTTTTTCTGAGCTATCGTATGTTAGTGATATTAAATGATTAAACGACAAGTGATGCTATATTGAATGTGGAAACTTATTCGGTCCTAAGTCCCACAAGGTAAATAAGTCGTATGAAGGCCCTAGCATTTCACGGATAGACCGTCTGAGTTTTGCGGACCCTCGCATCGACCCAAAACACATACGTACACCAAGGTTGGCGAAGGTGGTTGGAAGGTACATTTTAATTGATAGATTTACCCTTCAAGTGGAAGGTAGTTCATACTTTTAGTAAACTAATATTAGGATTATTGAGGCAACTGTAGATAATAATGTAAGATAAGATTTCGTTCGGATTTTTAACCCCGGAGGGTTAGCCACCCAGGATAACCCAAGAAAGTCAGTGCGTCATCGAGGACTGTCTAACTTATTTCCATTGGGGTCCTTAATCTTGTCCCCCAGGATGCGACCCACACCAGTCGACTAACACCCAGGTACCTATTTGCTGCTAGGTGAACAGGACAACAGGTGTAAGGAAACGTGTCGAAATGTTTCCACCCGCCGGGAATCGAACCCGGGCCCTCCGTGTGTGAAGCGGGAGCTTTAGCCACCAGGCCACCGGGTCTGTAATATAGGCAAACACTAGGCTATATTAGCTAGGGAGAACTGGCAGCCCAAGCTTGAACGACGAGGCGCAGTCTCAAAGATGCCAGACCTTCCTTCTAAAGTCAGACACCATTGGAATAACAAGTGCCGTGAACAGCAGGGCGGCGCCCCCACATGTCTACTCATACTAGACCTGGGGAAATCTGGTGGAGGCACCTCTAAGTACCATAGATGCCCTCCTCTGCCAGGCCCATACAGTAAGACAAGACCTCCCTTCCTTTCTCAGTATTCTGGCCTGTTTCTGGGGGAAATTGCGAGAGAGTTGAACTGTGGGTCTTTGTGCAGTCGGACGCCCGAAGACCAGTCTGTACCGGTGTCCCCTCTTTGTTAAGCTTAGAAGCTAGTGTCACTTCCTGCATAGTATACTAGGGGATACTCACCCCCTTGGAATCAGGAATTTCTGAGGTGCAGGCAGGTCACTAATACTGACTGAATATTGCAGGAATTAAGTTCCCGGCTGCACGTGATCTTGAAGGGGAAGTCCAGAGGGGCTAAGGCTTAGGGAGGTTGAAGACTGGGATATATTCTCCAACACCAAGTAAGTTAGTCCTTTATTTGTGCATTCATGCGAGATTTCTTGCAACATCAGTTATTTATGGAAATGTCATATAAGCCACTTGTGAGGCTGAGGTACCAGCCTCAGAGCTCGATGTCAACAGAGCTTGCTAGGGTAGACAACTCACATGGAGACAGTACAGACAAATTTCCACACTGAATAAAATATTATTATTATTATAATCAAAAAGAAGCGCTAAGCCACAAGGACTATATAGTGCTGCAGGGCAGGAAGGAAGCGAGGGCATCAGGTGGCAAAAGGGAGATGGATGAGTAATAGGTTACGGATAACAGCGGGGCAGTGGATGGTGAAAGGGTAAAGGGCAGCAAGAGACTGAACTAGAAAGGGCTGAGGGGAGTGTGAAAAGTATCATCAGAGTTTGTGGAGTAAATCAGTCGTTGTCAAGAAGTCAATGAGAGAGTCAGGATTAAAGGAGGGTCCATCAGCAAGAAGGGAAGGTAAAGAGAGAGTAGTAGAACAAAGACGACGTTGGAGGTAAATTCTGTGTGCTCATTGATAGAGAGGGCAGTCTAACAGAATGTGGCTAATCGATACTGGAACTTGACACTGCTCACAGAGAGGAACAGGGTGCCTCTCCATGAGATACCCATGAGTAAGACGAGTGTGACCAATGCGAAGGCGGGAGAGAGTGGTCTCCCAACCTCGGCACTGATGACAAGAAGACGGCCAGTAACCTATGCTCGGTTTAATAGAATGAAGTTTGTTACCGAGCAGAGTTGACCAACGTTGTTGCCAACGGGTGCGAAGGTGGGTAGCTATTGCAGCAAAATAGTCCAGAAATGGAACACCTCGATAGGAAATTGGTAGGTCATGTACTGCTGACCGCGCAGCAGTGTCTGCCTGTTCATTGCCCTGTACGTCGACATGACCAGGGACCCAACAAAAAACAATATCTTTATGTTTGGTAGAGATACGGCGTAGCCAAAGTTGGATACGGAGAACTAGGGGATGAGATGTATCAAATTTTCGTATAGCCTGTAGAGCACTAAGGGAGTCTGAGACTACAAATGATGACACAGGCATAGATGCGATACGAATAAGTGCTGCAAGAATGGTATACAGTTCAGCAGTAAAAATGCTAGCTGAAGATAGTAAATGTCCCCGCATGACACTGTCCGGAAACACTGCTGCGAATCCGACGCCGTCTGAAGACTTAGAGCCATCTGTGTACACAGCGGTGGCATGAGAATGGGAGTGGAAGTGATCAAGAAAAAGAGAGCGGGAAGCCACCATAGGCAGTTGAGCTTTCGAGCAAGGGAGTGAAAAAGAACAGACCCGAACAGCTGGAACTTCCAGGGGGGTAGGGAAAAGTGAGATGCTACATGAACATATAAAGGTGGTAACTGAAGGGAAGACAAGAGTGAATGTAGGCGAAGAGAAAAGGGACGGAGCAAACAGGGGCGGCGAACGAATAAAGAATGTCTACTAATATCGGTGACCATTCTATAAATGGAAGGATTGTGTAGATCGTGAGAGCGTACATAGTAGCGAAGGCAATGGGCATCACGGCGATCAGACAAGGATGGAACCATACCCCCTGCCGGGATTGAACCCGCGGTCATAGTCTCAAAACTCCAGCCCGTCACGTTAGCCACTAGACCAGCTAACGCGACGGGCTGGAGTTTTGAGACTCTATGACCGCGGGTTCAATCCCGGCCGGGGGTATGGTTTGTTTGCAATCGTGTCATTACGATTTCTTAAGTCAAGGATGGAACATTCGCTTCTGTATAGAGGCTCTCAACAGGGGAAGAGCGAAAAGCACCAAGGCACAAACGTAATCCTTGGTGATGGATAGAGTTAAGGCTAGAGAGAGTAGCAGGAGAGGCCGCGGAATAAATCTGGTCACTGAATAAAATAGTGAAACAATTTTCAGTTGAGGAGCTTATATATATATATATATATATATATATATATATTATATATATATATATATATATATATAATACACACACAGATATATATATGTATGTATTTTCTTTGTGCCTTAATTGTCTGATTCTCTTTTAAGAAAAGAAAAACATTCCTTCTTGCTTACAGTGACATGTTGCGATGGAACCAGATGTCCAACTGTGAGTGTGATAGACTTGGTAACTAGGAAAGTAAATCTTTCCTATGTATACCACTTTTCCTTCACTTAATGACCAGTCACCAAGTCTCGTCCCATCATCCTTCGTGTCTCCTCTAATCACGTAAGCAACATTCGTTATTGGATAATTTTCACATTTTTTTGTATAGAAACTTTGGTTATTGGTCTGCAATTTCATTCTTGAAAGCTGGAGTTAACATCAACTGCCAGTTCTTTTGGCCATCAGACTATGTGAAGTTAATGTGTCCTGGTAATCTGTTGTTCTCTTCTTCCACAGGTCTGGTAATAGTTGGAAGATGGAATCAAGTCTCCAGCATGGAGACTTGATTCCATCTTCAGGATCACAGTACAGGTTGAATGTCTCTCTTCTTCGAGAATCACTGTCTGGACTGGGATTATTCATCTCGGACTAAGCTACATCCAGCAGTGGACCTTCCCATGCGCACGTCTACTACCAACACTGTCTTTTGTGCTACCGTCCATAGGATGGATATGGGGTGCACAGTAAACTAGCCACTTCGGTGGCAAAATCAAACACTAAATCTAATCATTGTCCAACTAGCACCTCCCCATCTTCAGGTGTTCTCTCTTCAGTACAACACTTGGTATGATAGCATTTGTGTTGAGTGTTTATGCTCATTACTTTGTTGATGTTATCCCAAATTGTGTTATAACTGTTTTTACGGCTATGAGTGCTGAGTAACTAGGCAGTCAAACTGCTCTGTATTCATCTGAGATCAATGGAGAATAATAATAGTTATAAAAATAACCATAATTTTTAAAGGGGTGGAAGGGTAAGCTAGCGGAAGGCCTCGGTCAGATGATCAAAAGCTCCAGCAGTGGATCATCATATGACTAAGACCCGTGTCAGGAAACTCGTCCTGTTTCCTGACGAACTTTACTTAACCTAACCTAGAGAGAAATATATTTGGAAATAGCCACGTTATACCCTGGTATGCTGTACTGTACCTGGCTTGGACAAATATTAAAATATAATCGTTCTAATGAGAATTTACTGTTGTGGCGGAACACACAGTAACAACTAATAGTTAATGGGAGAGATGTTACTATGGGTTCTATGAACCACACCCATGAGTACCCCCATTAAAGTTATGATTCACACCCATGAATACCCCAGTTAAAGTAACTACTGTTCCTTAGTTCAAGAGTAGTTTACCAGCAGAAAGTTTCCCTTCCCAGTACTTGTATTAAAAGGTCAGGTTTTCTCCTGGTTTATTATTATTTATTTTTTTTATTATCACACTGGCCGATTCCCACCAAGGCAGGGTGGCCCGAAAAAGAAAAACTTTCACCATCATTCACTCCATCACTGTCTTGCCAGAAGGGTGCTTTACACTACAGTTTTTAAACTGCAACATTAACACCCCTCCTTCAGAGTGCAGGTACTGTACTTCCCATCTCCAGGACTCAAGTCCGGCCTGCCGGTTTCCCTTAATTCCTTCATAAATGTTACCTTGCTCACACTCCAACAGCATGTCAAGTATTAAAAACCATGTCTCCATTCACTCCTATCAAACACGCTCACGCATGCCTGCTGGAAGTCCAAGCCCCTCGCACACAAAACCTCCTTTACCCCCTCCCTCCAACCTTTCCTAGGCCGACCCCTACCCCGCCTTCCTTCCACTACAGACTGATACACTCTTGAAGTTATTCTGTTTCGCTCCATTCTCTCTACATGTCCGAACCACCTCAACAACCCTTCCTCAGCCCTCTGGACAACAGTTTTGGTAATCCCGCACCTCCTCCTAACTTCCAAACTACGAATTCTCTGCATTATATTCACACCACACATTGCCCTCAGACATGACATCTCCACTGCCTCCAGCCTTCTCCTCGCTGCAACATTCATCACCCATGCTTCACACCCATATAAGAGCGTTGGTAAAACTATACTCTCATACATTCCCCTCTTTGCCTCCAAGGACAAAGTTCTTTGTCTCCACAGACTCCTAAGTGCACCACTCACCCTTTTCCCCTCATCAATTCTATGATTCACTTCATCTTTCATAGACCCATCTGCTGACACGTCCACTCCCAAATATCTGAATACATTCACCTCCTTCATACTCTCTCCTTCCAATCTGATATCCAATCTTTCATCACCTAATCTTTTTGTTAAACTCATAACCTTACTCTTTCCTGTATTCACTTTTAATTTTCTTCTTTTGCATACCCTACCAAATTCATCCACCAATCTCTGCAACTTCTCTTCAGAATCTCCCAAGAGCACAGTGTCATCAGCAAAGAGCAACTGTGACAACTCCCACTTTGAGTGTGATTCTTTATCTTTTAACTCCACGCCTCTTGCCAAGACCCTCGCATTTACTTCTTACAACCCCATCTATAAATATATTAAACAACCACGGTGACATCACACATCCTTGTCTAAGGCCTACTTTTACTGGGAAATAATTTCCCTCTTTCCTACATACTCTAACTTGAGCCTCACTATCCTCGTAAAAACTCTTCACTGCTTTCAGTAACCTACCTCCTACACCATACACCTGCAACATCTGCCACATTGCCCCCCTATCCACCCTGTCATACGCCTTTTAAAAATCCATAAATGCCACAAAGACCTCTTTAGCCTTATCTGGTCCACACACCCCCTACCTTTCCTAAAGCCTCCTTGTTCATCTGCTATCCTATTCTCCGTCTTACTCTTAATTCTTTCACTAATAACTCTACCATACACTTTACCAGGTATACTCAACAGGCTTATCCCCCTATAATTTTTGCACTCTCTTTTGTCCCCTTTGCCTTTATACAAAGGAACTATGCATGCTCTCTGCCAATCCCTAGGTACCTTACCCTCTTCCATACATTTATTAAATAATTGCACCAACCACTCCAAAACTATATCCCCACCTGCTTTTAACATTTCTATCTTTATCCCATCAATCCCGGCTGCCTTACCCTCTTTCATTTTACCTACTGCCTCACGAACTTCCCCCACACTCACAACTGGCTCTTCCTCACTCCTACAAGATGTTATTCCTCCTTGCCCTATACACGAAATCACAGCTTCCTTATCTTCATCAACATTTAACAATTCCTCAAAATATTCCCTCCATCTTTCCAATACCTCTAACTCTCCATTTAATAACTCTCCTCTCCTATTTTTAACTGACAGATCCATTTCTCTAGGCTTCCTTAACTTGTTAATCTCACTTCAAAACTTTTTCTTATTTTCAACAAAATTTGTTGATAACATCTCACCCACTCTCTCATTTGCTCTCTTTTTACATTGCTTCACCACTCTCTCATTCTCCATATACTCTTCCCTCCTTGCATCACTTCTACTTTGTAAAAACTTCTCATATGCTAACTTTTTCTCCCTTACTACTCTCTTTACATCATCATTCCACCAGTCGCTCCTCTTCCCTCCCGCACCCACTTTCCTGTAACCACAAACTTCTGCTGAACACTCTAACATTACATTTTTAAACCTACCCCATACCTCTTCGACCCCATTGCCTATGCTCTCATTAGCCCATCTATCCTCCAATAGCTGTTTATATCTTACCCCAACTGCCTCCTCTTTTAGTTTATAAACCTTCACCTCTCTCTTCCCTGATGCTTCTATTCTCCTTGTAGCTACAACTAGAAAGTGATCTGATATATCTGTGGCCCCTCTATAAACATGTACATCCTCAAGTCTACTCAACAGTCTTTTATCTACCAATACATAATCCAACAAACTACTGTCATTTTGCCCTACATCATATCTTGTATACTTATTTATCCTCTTTTTCTTAAAATATGTATTACCTATAACTAAACCCCTTTCTATACAAAGTTCAATCAAAGGGCTCCCATGATCATTTACACCTGGCACCCCAAACTTACCTACCACACCCTCTCTAAAAGTTTCTCCTACTTTAGCATTCAGATCCCCTACCACAATTACTCTCTCACTTGGTTCAAAGGCTCCTATACATTCACTTAACATCTCCCAAAATCTCTCTCTCTCCTCTACATTCCTCTCTTCTCCAGGTGCATACACGCTTATTATGACCCACTTTTCGCATCCAACCTTTACTTTAATCCACATAATTCTTGAATTTACACATTCATATTCTCTTTTCTCCTTCCATAACTAATCCTTCAACATTACTGCTACCCCTTCCTTTGCTCTAACTCTCTCAGATACTCCAGATTTAATTCCATTTATTTCCCCCCACCGAAACTCCCCTACCCCCTTCAGCTTTGTTTCGCTTAGGGCGAGGACATCCAACTTCTTTTCATTCATAACATCAGCAATCATCTGTTTCTTGTCTTCTGCACTACATTCAAGCATCCCAGTTTTATAAAGTTTTTCTTCTTCTCTTTTTTAGTAAATGTCTACAGGAGAAGGGGTTACTAGCCCTTTGCTCCCGGCATTTTAGTCGCCTCATACGACACGCATGGCTTACGGAGGAAAGATTCTTTTCCACTTCCCCATGGACAATAGAAGAAATAAAGAAGAACAAGAGCTATTTAGAAAAAGGAGAAAAACCTAGATGTATGTATATATATATATGCATGTGCGTGTCTGTGAAGTGTGACCAAAGTGTAAGTAGGAGTAGCAAGATATCCCTGTTATCTAGCGTGTTTATGAGACAGAAAAAGAAACCAGCAATCCTACCATCATGCAAAACAGTTACAGGTTTCTGTTTCACAGTCATCTGGCAGGACGGTAGTACTTCCCTGGGTGGTTGCTGTCTACCAACCTACTACCTGGTAGTTGATTTTAATTTAAATTAAAGTGTATTTTCACATGATTCAGAATGCCCATTGCTATGCAGATAGTTTTGGGCTTGATCAAAAACTGGTTTAGTTTTTTTAATTAGATATTTAGCTAGTTTTATTATAATCGAAGAAGTGCCAAACCAAGTAGGGTCATACAGCGCATCAGATAGTTTTAAGATGCACATTAAAACAAGGTAAATATCGCATTTGGTTTTTTTTTTAATCTTGATATTACATAAATTCTCACTCTTTTAATGGGGTTTTGTTGTGGACAGTTATATTTCTGGCCTATGGGATACCAGATTTTTTTCTTAACAAAACCCAAAGAACTTGAGCAATCCTGTATTAGTTAAATTCTAGGGTATAGTAAATTGGCTTTCTTTTTTATTCGTACCTTGTAGGCCCAAAATATAACAGTCTCCATTGTACAACCTACTTAATATTAGATAATTTACATAAAAAATAGAATTTATTAAACTCGGTCTTAGCCTAAAACAGCATAGTTTGACAATCAGTAGCATGGGATGTGAAACTAAAAGAATTAGAGAGGACTTTGGAGGCTGTCCTTGAAATTTAAATCTTTATCCTCACTTTCTCTAGCCATCTTAGAAATAATCCCCACTTCTTTTCCTGCTTCCAACTTGTTACCTGTCCCATCAACATACTCAACAGGCTTGTGTGTACTCTCCTATTTGTGGTTGCAGGGGATGAGTCTTGGCTCCTAGCCACGACTCATAGCTTGCCAGATTTACTACTTCCTGCCCTCGTCAGCCTCTCATCTTACTTATGGAATCTTCCTCCACTACTTAGTTTTCCAGGTCATGTCACTTCCTGACCACTCTGAGGCTGAAGAATTTCCTGATATCCTTGTGACTAACCTTTAGCTTTCAGCAATGCCTTCGTGTACCAGTTTCTCGTCTCTGTCCCTGTCCACCATCTAAAGGGTGGGAAGAGAGAGTGAATTCCATGGACTTCATTGGTAACTTATTTGGAGTCTTTTCTAGTATCTTTTTTTCTAAATACTGATGTTGTCCATGTAGACCCTTGAATTGAATTCTTTCATGTAATGATCTCTTCATTTCCTCAGTCTGTTTTGCTATACTTTGGGCAGTGGTGAACGAGCCTTATGATAGTGACCACTATCCTGTTCTTCCTTTCATTCACACCTGTCCTTATTGTCCTGCTCAGTGGCAGTTTGAAAGTGCAAATTGGGCTAGATATAAGTTACTTTTCCTTCTCACACCATGGCTAACCAGTACCATTCTGAAATCCATTGACAAGAAACACCAATATGAAAAGCAATATAGACAGGGCTTAATACACAAAGATATTCTTAAACACTATTCATCAGTTCTCACCAAAGTAATAAAGAAAGCCAAACAACTATACTACTCCAGTAGATTCACAGACACTAGAGGAGATATAAAAAAGACCTGGAAAACACTCTTTCAGATTCTAGGGACCCACAAACTGAAAAAAAAACAAGAATATTGTCCTAACTAAACCTAATGAAACACCACTACATCCCACTGACACAGCTAACAAGATAAACGACTTCTTCTCAACCATAGGATCTAATCTCGCCAATAAAATCCCACATACCAATGCCCATGCCGGGGACTACCTAGATGGGAATTTCCCAAATTCCTTCTATCTTGCACCAACTGAGCCCTCAGAAGTCACCGAGATTATAAAGTCACTTAATACATAAAAGTGGTGACCCTACAGACTTAAACAACTTTCTTTCTTTCTTTCAACACACCGGCCGTATCCCACCGAGGCGGGGTGGCCCAAAAGGAAAAACGAAAGTTTCTCCTTTTACATTTAGTAATATATACAGGAGAAGGGGTTACTAGCCCCTTGCTCCTGGCATTTTAGTCGCCTCTTACAACACGCATGGCTTACGGAGGAAGAATTCTGTTCCACTTCCCCATGGAGATAAGAGGAAATAAACAAGAATAAGAACTAGAAAGAAAATAGAAGAAAACCCAGAGGGGTGTGTATATATGTGCTTGTACATGTATGTGTAGTGTGACCTAAGTGTGAGTAGAAGTAGCAAGACGTACCTGAAATCTTGCATGTTCATGAGACAGAAAAAAGGACACCAGCAATCCTACCATCATGTAAAACAATTACAGGCTTTCGTTTTACACTCACTTGGCAGGACGGTAGTACCTCCCTGGGCGGTTGCTGTCTACCAACCTACTACCTAGGACTTAAACAACTATAGGCCAATATCAAACTTACCATTGCTATCCAAAATCTTTGAGAAACTCGTGCACAGGAGACTATATTCATTTATAACAACACAAAACATACTCAACCCCTGCCAATTTGGATTCAGGAAAAATAAAAGCACTAATGATGCAATCATAAAAATGCTAGATCTGCTTTACACAGCATTGGAAAATAAGGAATATCCACTAGGAATTTTTATTGACCTAAGAAAAGCTTTTGACACAGTAGACCACAACATCCTACTCCACAAACTTGACCATTACGGTATAAGAGGCCATGTGCTTGCTTATTTCAAATCTTACCTTACTAATAGGTATCAGTATGTCACCATTAAAGACACAGCATCAACAACACGGCCACTTGATACTGGAGTTCCGCAGGGAAGTGTCCCTGGTCCCCTGCTCTTCCTCATATACATCAATGATCTTCCAAACGTATCCCAACACCTGAAACCCATTCTCTTTGCTGACGACACGACTTATGTCATCTCTCACCCTAATCTTGCCACCCTCAACACCATTGTTAATGAGGAGCTGATCAAAATATCGACTTGGATGACAGCCAATAAACTTATGCTTAACACTGACAAAACCTACTATATTATGTTTGGTAGCAGAGCAGGAGATGCACAAATTAACATTAAGATCGACAACACTCTAATTACCAGACATAATGAGGGCAAATTCCTAGGCCTATACCTTGACAACAACCTGAATTTCAGCACCCATATCCAACACACAACCAAAAAAGTATCCAAAACGGTTGGGATCCTCTCCAAGATACGATACTACGTGCCGCAAACTGCCCTTATCACACTATACCATTCACTTATATATCCATACCTCACCTATGCTATTTGTGCTTGGGGATCAACTGCAGCAACACACCTAAAGCCAATAATAACCCAACAAAAAGCTGCAGTAAGAATAATCACTAAATCCCATCCCTGGCAACACAACCCCCCACTCTTCATAGATCTAAACTTACTCCCTGTTCAGTACATCCACACTTACTACTGTGCAGTCTACATCTACAGGACCTTAAACTCCAATATCAACCTTGACCTAAAACGCTTTCTTGATAGTTGTGACAGAACCCACAGGCATAACACCAGACACAAACATCTCTACGACATTCCCTGTGTCCGACTAAACCTTTACAAAAATTTAATGTATGTCAAAGGCCCTAAAATCTGGAACACCCTACCTGAGAACTCTAGAACTGCAGACACATTCATCACCTTCAAAACTACCATTAGAAAACATCTTATCTCCCTGATACACCCCATCAACTAACTACACGAATACCACCTGGTGGTTCACACTTACACTCACACACCCATTTGACCATAAACAGAAATATTAATCTCAATCTTAAAATAATGAATCCTATGATACTCCAATACTGAAACTATGTACTGTGCCAAAACAAAAGCATTCACATTGCTAAACTTACGAACTAGTATTTAGTCACTTAGCCATAATACCAACTTACCTCATAATTTGTAATATTTTAAAATAAAGAATTAAACTAAGTCTGCCTGAAATGCCTAGCCATGCTAGGCGTTCTAGTGGTACACTCTGTAATCATTATTTAACTACATGTAAACCACACAACAACCAAATTCTGTAAATTCAACTTTGTAATCTTTATAGAGAATAAACTTTGAATTTGAAATTTGAATACCTTAACCACTGACGAGTTATTGCATCAGTTACACTGTTCGGCAGGTGGTAACAGCTTGGTTGACCAGGTCCTGATCCACTGCAAGGCTTGGTCATGGACTGGGCTGTGGGGTCGCTGACCCCTGGAATGCCCTCCAGGTATTCCAGCTGCTGGTATTGCTATCCCATGAACCTTACATAAGCATTTTACATAAAGTTCATTCATATACATTTTAGTACATACCCTGGTGGCTACTAGATTGTGCTAGTGCCATTCTACTTGAACGTTCTGCATGGGGCTGGTATCTTCATACAATTCAAACCCCATACATCACAGGGCTGGTATCTTCATACAACCCCACCCCCATACATCATAGGGCTGGTATCTTCATACAGCCTTGATTCTACCTAGACTCGATTATGGGGGATCAGGTGTATTCATCCGCATCAACAGCTGTTCTTACCCAAATTTTCTGTCCATCAAAAACTTTTTTTTTTTTTCTTTCTTATCCCTATTCAAAAGTCTTAATGCAGTCTTATGTTCTTTCACTTGCAAGGCCATCAAGATACTCAGACCATGCAGTCTGGTTCACTTTCATGATCATCACACAACCTATAATCACAGATGCTAATAAAACTGACTTACGTCATCCTTTATTACATACATATAATCTTTCCCTGCAGTCTAATTACTTCTCTCAATCTAACCTCTCCATTTCTGTTTAGTCTGATTTTTCCTATTTCTACCGTGGGAAGTACTGATTGTTAGAGTATGTTCCTACTTTCCCTTTTCAGTCTTTTATTGCTACTGTGGACATCATTTCCTCTTCCTTGATCATTTTTAATTACTTGTTACTGCTGTGTACACTGGTGGCTCTAAATCCTATGGTGTAGGATATGCAAGTGGTGTCTCAGATGATGTGATGGAGATGCTTACTGAATTTTGCATGGCAATTAGATCACTTCTGAAAGAAATGCTTAAAACATTGCATCCTTTCTACTTTTATTATAGTTTTTGATTCAGTGCCCTTAAAGCTTTTCAGAACTTTGACTCCTTGTGTCCCACTGCCCTTTGCATTCAATGCTCATTGTTTGGCCTCCCAGGCAAACAAAAAGACATTTTGCTGGGTCCCTGGTCAGTCTGGTGTCAAGGCTAATAAGCTTGCAGTCTTCTGCACATTTCGGAGCCGAGGACCTTTTCCATTTCTCGCGGGTGTCTCCTATTCAGATTATTTTCCAGTTTTGTCTAAGAACCTGTAGGATTGATGGCAATGTTGTTGGTACAAGTTAGAAGACAATAAGCAACTCTTTACCAAACAATTGGGTTCTTGGTCTACTATTTTTCATCACTGTTGTTTAGGAAACAGTTTTTGTACAACTGTGTATTGGTCTAGAGACTTTCAGCTATGATATGGAGAGGTGTATTGTGTCTCTGGAATCTGTCTTGTCCCATATAATAAATAGCATACAATACCTGCAAGTTGAAGACTAAGACAAATATGCTACACTTAATTATTGTTGTCAAAGCGTATTGCCTGTGCAGCAGGCATCTTCAATCAAATACAAATGGTTATAACAGAAATGGAGAAGTAATTTTGGGATGATCAGTCCCATAGCCTAAAACAGAGACTTGTATATTGGAAGTGAAGTATATTAGCTGGAGATACTACATGTGAGTGGGGCCCACTAGGAAGAGTAGGTCATACTAAACAGTTGTTAGCAATGAACTTGGAGATGGAAAAAAAGTGCATTACATAGGCATCTTTGTCGAAACATTTTGCCTGTGTTTTCCTAACAACTGCTGAGCATAAATTCCTGCCATAAGTGGGCCCAGCTGACCTGTGACATGCTCTCCAGCTGCTGCACCCTGCCTCTAGCCCAGTAAATGTGTCTGACCTCAAGCCTCTCCTTTAGGCTAAGGGACTGGTTGCCTCTCCACATGTCTAGTGTTTTAATTTTTGTACTGGACTGAAAATGCCTGTGTAGGTGAAGTTTTCACAAAGATACTCAAGTGTTGCAATGTTTTGCTTAACTTATCTCCCATTAACTGTACCAGTAATCAGAATATATAGAATAGATTCTCCATCTGCTGTTGTAGTGTCTTGGTCCTCTCACACTGCCTGCTCTTTCAGAAATCCCTACTCTCACTGAAGACTTTTACTGAAACATAATTATGCCAACTAACACTTTCCTCATGTGCTCTTCACATTACTTCCTCGTCCTCATAACACAAAATTATCAGGTAAGATCATGTAAGTTTATTTAGGTACAGGTGCATATAAGCACCATTATCATACATAGGAACACACATGCAAATTGCCTAGGATAATCCAAAAAAGTCAAAGTAATTTATTTCCACTGGGGTCCTTGTATGTATACAGTAGGGCCCTGCTTTACGGGGATTTCAAATTATGACCAAAGCTTTCTATGCAGCTAGTGGTCTTTCAAATATGGAGCGCGCCACCCGGTTTGTTTACATTATCTATAAGCACATCTCTCTATTATGTAATAATGACTGTTGGGCACATTAAATGTCTTATTTTACATCACTATAGACATTTTCATTAATCCATCTATGATATTTTCTTCAAAATTATATAAGAAACATGTTACATAAACATTTTGTTTCTATACTATGGAGGTGTGGTAGCCGGGCTATTGTTTACAATTCTCGGCATGAATTATTCATTACTTTTCCCTTTGTTTATGATGGCATGTAAAGGTAGTTGTTATAAACGATTAAACTTGGTATGTCGATGGTAATAATATGGCTCTGGGCTGCATTAAATATCGTGTAGCTATGTAGCCCAGGCGGGCTAAACCTACATTATTATTATAACCGATACTTAGGTACAGGTACATATAAGTAAACAAGTAAACTTACACACTGTGCTGGCATGCAAGTACACATTAAAATCACTAAGAGTGTCTTATTAGTCTTGAAGATGCCATATTATTATTAATAATATCGCAATAATCACTCTGAGGAGCCTTAATTATCGTATAAAACGTTAATACAGTGGATCCCCGCATAACGATTACCTCCGAATGCAACCAATTATGTAAGTGTGTTTGTACGTGTATGTTTGGGGTCTGAAATGGACTAATCTACTTCACAATATTTCTTATAGGAACAAATTCGGTCAGTACTGGCACCTGAACATACTTCTGGAGTGAAAAAATATCGTTAACCGGGGGTCCACTGTATAGACATTTTGCTTAATCCATCTAAATACATCCCACAGTAGAATAAATTAACAAATATGAGATGTGGTAGCCAGGCAACTTGCAGGACTTGTGTTCCAACATCAGAGACAATGTGCACACTATAATATTACTGGGGGTAACTAGAAAATTATTCCTTTCGTATGCCTTCACTCGGGGCGTCATTTCTTCTAAAAATAGTGTTATATGAGAATGGGAGTGTTTCTCTCTATTGATTATACTGTATCAATGTGGAGACAACTTGTACACAATGTAAAGTGACGAAAACCAGACGTGTTCACTTGGTTTGTTTACATTGCAGGGGTAGCCCTACCCATATCTGACTTCATACAAGTAAAACTCACCTCACATTAAGACTACAGATATTTTAAGGTAATGAATGCACTGTATATGTATTTTATAGCTCTGGGGCACTTTAATTAAATGTAGTATGTTACATATGGGTGGGCTGTATAGCCCTTGTGGCTTAGCTCTTCTTTTTGATTATAATAATACGTATGGGTGGGGTTGGCTCGCCTGGCTGGCTACCATATATCCCATACCTGACTTCCTACAAATAAAACTCACCTCTCACCCTACATTAAGATTACAAATCTTTTAAGGTAAGTAATGGGTGTACTGTGTGTGTATTTTACTTCTTATTGTCTTTAATGCCTAGTTCTATTGCTAACGTAGTATGTTAGTGTAAACTTATCTGGCATTTGTGAGTGGAAAAAAATGGTGTTCTGCTTTTCATCAGTAGCCTGGAACCTAACCTGCTGTATAAGTGGGGCCCTACTATATTAGCTTGTCAAAATCTTGAAGAGGAAAAGTGCTGTGATGCAAAGAAGTGGCTCCATCCTTTATGAAAACTGCCTCTTATTCCACATGTGCTGTACGACTATGGGTTGAGCATGCTACTGATTAAAATAATGTTTTTAGCAATATTAAACTCTGATAACTGTATAATTTTTTTTTTCAACCATTCTGGTAAAGGTTATTTTGAATGTCATCATTGAAAAGATTAATTACTGGGCATATTTATGTAAGAATACATAGAAACGTAACTCTCTTCATTGCATATTGCTTCTTTTAATAGGAAATAGCTTGTGATATCTCCAGAACAAGATTTTTATAAATATTAGTGTTGAACTCATGAGAGTCCAACAGCGCTGTAATTAAATTGTTATAATTCATAGCCGGTGGGAGAGACTTGCAGCTTTTTAGAGTATTTATCAAAGGATAATCAATGAAAAATCCATACCCATTATCAGGATTCATTTCAGAAATGAATCTTGATGGTGATTGATTTTTCACCAAAACATCTGATTATATAATAATTCAATGAATGCACTCAAACAGTAAGTCTTTCTCACCTACTTTAATTATTGTATATTTCTTTAAGCTCTGTCATCTTTAAATATTATTGGTGGTGTATAATACTGACAAGTAAGACATGTGGAACACTTGGGTATACTTATTGCTGAAATGATTTACCTATGCAACAGGCTGCTTCAGTCAAATATAGGTGAACATAATAGAAGTAATTTTCAAGTGGCCAGGCCGAGGAACTGATTACCTTGAATATAATAGTGTTATATCTGCCTGTATTTGAAGAAATCTGTTGTGCGGGTGAAACTTTGGCAATAAACACCCAAGTATTGCACGTCTTACTCATCAGCACTACAACCATTGAAAATGAACAAAAATTCACCAAATGAATTCTCACTGTACATCATGTCCTGAGAATTCTGCAGACATTAAATTTACAGTGAAACAGAGGACTTGGGTAAGATGTGAAATAATTTTTTTTTTCAAGATTTTAGTATTAAAATTCTAAGTAAAAAATATATTTATTGTATAAGACATCTAATAATGATGATGTCATTTCTAACATTAAAGGTAAAACCAAATAAAAAGATTCGTTAATATCACAGTAATAACCTAAATTATAATGTTGAAAGAAATATTGGGCGACTCAAAAGTCTGGACATGTAGGAATTATTATTCCCTCCCCCTCTAGAGTTATTGCATTGTGTTCATGTGAATCTTTTAAAGTACACTGAACTGAGCATAGCTAATGGTGGACAAGACATTGAAGATAATCGTTAAAATCAATTACAAAAATGAAATTTCAGCCAGGTGTCTAGACTTTTGAGTCACCCTTTTAACATTTTATACTAGAATTGAATCTTCCTCAATCCTACTGAAGAGGATACTCTTCAAGGGTGCTGCCTGAATGCCACTGAAGAGCTCATGATAGAAATTATTTGTTGCCCTTGATTTTTTATTATATTCAAGGGGGGGGGGGGAATTGCTAAATGAGTAGGATTTTACAGCACCTGTGGGAGGTATTCAAGGAACCTTCCTTGAACTGAGCCTGATTACCTCTCCTACTCCAGATGCTATATGACCCAAATGGGTTTAAAGCTTCCACATAATTAAGGTGATATTGAAGCCTTGTCTATTTTTTATTCATTAGGGAAAATAATAAAGTTTGATCCAAGGAAAGGGATGGAAACTCTAATTCTTCAGATCGAGACTAGCTTCATTTGCCATCTATGCACTAATAAGATTTACGAGTCTTATTAAAGTGCTGAAAAAATAGAAATTTTAGTGGTTTGACTTTTAAGCCTTGTACTTTTCCAAATAGATACATTAATATCCATGGGAGTTAAAGGTCCATCTTCAGAGTTCTGTGGAGTGGAAGAGCTGAAGTCTTTTTCAAGAAATAGACGAATGTGGGGCACATGAGCCCAAAACCTGAAAAATATACAAGTCAGGATCAATACAGTGTTTGATGAAGTCTACTTGTTATTAAACAAAAGATAATGTGAAAACATCAATTGGTTTCTGAGTGCCACAGGCATAACTTGATGACTGTAATTTCAAGTGTTTCATTAATCAAAAAAAAAAAAGGGGCTATACAGCAATTTCAAGTGTAACATTAAATATTTGTAGGTTGGAAACCTTATCTATAGTATAGGCAGAAAAAGTTTAACCTTTTTGGGGGCCCCAAGTAAATCCCTCACCATGGCTCCAACTTTAATGCAGACTAATGCTATAACTTATAATTCCCTGGAAAATATTAATTCTTGTTTTTACCTTTAGGCACATGGGACTTGGGGGGGGGGGGCAATGATATTATTTCCCCCTTTTTCATCTAAAATGAGAAGGGTCGGCCTAGTCTCATTGCGAGAGGATATTGATTTTTCTCGTAGCAAAGCAGTATGCACAATTATTAGTGTTGGGCTCAAGATTCTCCTACAGCATATACTTTCATTATGATGGAATATGCTATTGGATGGTTCCATTACTACATAGGATTTAATTCACAGTAAGGTCAGTTAGTTGAAGCTCTAGAATTTCTATAAGGGAGAGCCTATAGGTGGCTGTTGTTTGGGAAGGGTGCTAGAAGACTCATTATTAATACTAAAATATTTTTGTTGGGGGGGGGGGGGAAGCCATTCCTTGCTTGCAAAACTGGGACCACTGATCACTGCCCTGTCTCTAATTTCCTCCACCAGCTTCTCTGCAATGTAAGTATAGCTTATGGAGAGACATTTTGATGTTAACAAGTCACCTAACATGTATAATCCATGTCAGTAAATTATTGTACCACTTTCATTCTTATTTCTCTGTGTGCCCCTTATGAATGCAACCATTGATCCTGATATTGAACTGCACAAATAATCCTAACAGCAATTGCCAGTCTGGCTAAAACTCTACTCAGTGCCAACAAGAACATTACAGTTTTCAACTATGATGACCTCCTTGCATTACTGAAGTCTCTAAATGCTACTATAACTTTCATTATTCTTACTGAAACCTGGCTCAAACAAGATTTGACAGACATATTTACCATACCTAGTTACATAACTGCAGGCCTGACCAACCAGGAGGTGGCACTGCCATCTATTACTCTGATGAATTGGAATGTATGAAATCAACTTGCATAAGGGACAAATATATAATAGCTAAATTCACATCAAGAAACCTATAACAGTGGAAGCAATCTACACACAAATACTTACACTTTTAGTAGTAACTTTAGAAACATAATAGCGTCAGAGTTGAATAAACATGACCTGATACTAACAGGAGACTTCAACATAAACCTCATCCAAGCAACTGACCCTCCAGTAGCTGATTTCACACACACTATGAATACCTGCTTGTTGCTACCCTCTGTAACTAAGCCGACAAGTGCCTCATTACTTGATCATATCTGGACCAACACGATATCCCCACCTTTCTCATAACCAACTTATGTAAACTGCCTCAAGAAACGAGAAAGATCTCATTTTGCCTGCATGATGAGACATCAGTAAACAATTTAATATTAGCACTAGGTGACACTGATTGGCAAAGAGAGCTAGCTGACAGCAATAATATTGACAAAGATATCAAAACAAAGCAGATCACAGAAGAGAGACTAAACAGCCCATGGCTAACAAATAGCATCCTCAAATCTATTGATAAAAAATAGTTCAGATTACTAGAGACCTGACTAAACAATACACCACAAAACTAATATGAAAATCAAAGCAAATGTATTACGAATAGAGATTTATTGAAATAAAAGGTTATATGAAAAGTACCTGGCAAACCCTCTCCAAAATTTTGGGCTCTAGGAAACCATCTGGAAACAGAGAGAGAAATTTAACTAAACCAGATAAGCCTCACCTACAGACATGGCCAACAAATTTAATGTTTTCTTCTCTACTATAGGATCAAAGCTAGCAAGTAAAATTCCTAGCTCAAATACCCAGCCGAAGAATTACCTCACTGGCAAGTACCCAAATACTCTATTTCTAGCTCCAACTAATTCTACTGAAGTCTTACTCATAATTAAACAACAATGCAGGAGATCTGGATAATTTGTCACCATTCATTTATAAAAAAGATGCACATTATTGCAACAATGTTTAACAAATCTGTAGTGCCCTCAACCTTTCCATCTATACTCCAGCCAGCCAGGATTACCCCAATCCTCAAAGGAGGTGATTCAACTGACTTGAACAACTATAGGCCCCATATCAAACTTGCCCTTACTATCCAAAATATTCTAAAAAATAATACACAAACGACTTTACATACTTAACCCCTGCCAGTTTGGGTTTAGACCAAAAAAAAAAGGTACGAATGATGCTATTATACAAATGCTTCAACTAATATATACAGCCCTCGATAAAAATGAATATCCTCTGGGGCTCTTCACTGATCTACGATAAGCATTTGATACAGTGGACCACGATCTCCTGCACCTAAAACTAAATCATTACTGCATCAGAGGACATTCTCTTGATTACCTAAAATCTTATCTTAACACAGATAACACATATTGAGGGTAAATTTCTAGGTCTTCTCCTTGACTGTAATCTTAAATTTCATTCCCATAGCCAAGAAAACTTCCAAATCAGTAAGCATCCTTTCCAAGATATGATACAGGTCCGGCATCATTGGGACCTAGAGTATGCGGGATTACAGAGTGGTTACGTTAGAATACACTTACTTAATAAAATTAACCAACTTGACTTAGACAAAGTTCATTGAACATCGGCAAAAATCGAACATTTCCGCTACTTTGAGCTAAATTTCAAGGTATTTTTCGTCATGAAAGCAATCAAAATCATGTCTATTTCTGTAATATATCTTCCATTCTATCAAATGAGTCCAAAAAAATGAGAATACAAGCAAAAAAATATACTGCAAAGAGGCAGCTAATGGCTGAGAAGTGAACTCCCTTATTTATCGTCCGTCTTTTTTATTTTTGTTGTACGTTAAGAAGCATCTTTCCATCATACATTGCCCAAGTTTCAATGAGATAGCCCAACAAATCGAGAAAAAAAATATTTACCAAAAATCATATATGGCAATCCCAAGCCAGGTACTGGAAATAAGTCACTTTGATTTTTCTGGGTTATCCTAGGTTCTCTGTACATACACTGCTATGTATGATAGTCTATGTAACTCTATTTGTGTATACCTGAATAAACTTATTTACTTCTAGTCTGTCAACTGAGTACAAGAAACTGCCCATTCACTGATTTCAACTACCCAATAAAGTGGTCAGAAATTGGCAATTTGGCCAATTTCAAAATAGGATCCAGAATAAACAATGCATACATTCCTGGCACTAAAATAACATTTTCTGTTCATTAGTCATGGCTCCAGGCTACTCTTGCTTACCATTTGGAATTTTTATTCACAAAAAAGTTTAAGATTTACTGTTATGCAGACTGCTGCATTATTGTAGTAATTGCATAAATAATGTAAAGCCATTCTTGACTCCGTACTGGAATTTAGACTGGCAGGCGGACAGGTATTGGACGGTGACGTCATTTGTTTACTCTTGAGCTTCGCTAAAGAATAGAACATTTTCGCTACTGTGAGCGCAATTTCAAGGTACTTTTCGTCATGAAAGCAATCAAAATCATATCTATTTCTGCAATATATCTTTCATTCTATCAAATGAGAATAAAACCATACAAAAATATACCGCTAATGGCTGAGAAGTGAACTCCGCTATTTATGGTCTTATTTCTTTCATTTTTGGTGTACGTTAAGAAGTATCTTTCCATCATACATTGCCCAAGTTTCAATAAGATAACACAACTGAGAAAATAATATATTTATTTACTACATGTACAAGGTATACAGACCTAGCTGACATCAGTGACATACTACTATATAGAAAGCCGCTTGTTATGCAGAGTATTTCAAGAAAATTAGGTCAGTGTCCCAGGATAACACCCACAGTAGTCGACTAACACCCTGGTACCCATTTACTGATGGGTAAACATAGACAACAGGTGTAAAGAAACACGCCTAATTTTTCTACCCTGGCTGGGAATCGAATATTTACCAAAAATCATATATGGCTAACCCAAGCCAAGTGCTAGAAATAAGCCACATTGACTTTTTTGGGTTATCCTAGGTTCTCTACATATATGCTGCTATGTGTGATAATCTATATAGAGAAAATAACTTTTTTTTTTTAAGGTTTAGGGTGGAGTACGAGTGTATATCACAGTTAGCCCTGTGCTATACTCCGTTTTCTCTAATATAAGCCCCCCAAGACAGGGATAGGAGAATGGTATTTGTATACCATATCCTCCTCATAACTCTCGAACTGCTCGGTGTTATGCCAAATATTATTTATTCTGGAGTATTTAACATGTTTTATGTTATTTATATTGTTTATTATGTCATATTAGATCAATTATGATAGGCAAAAGCTGTAGTGTTGATATTCACATAATAAAGCATATTCTCCTGCTTCATGAGACTGAGCTCATGGCAACCGACAGTGGCTTCAAAGCCACCTTATCTTTAATGGATAATGTACTGTGTAGGTGCTTTACATAATGAGAAGCATTTCTTTTATTCATTGGAACCATGGCTAGGGCTAAATGTAAGCAGGTTATAACAATAAATGGAGAAAAAGAAATTGGAATGACTTAAGCAGCAGGTTGGTGTGGCGACCCTGGAAATTAGAAATTATGCTAGCCAAAATTATTGCCGGATTTGTGATGGCGGACCTGTACTACGTACCACAAACGACACTCCTTACTCTTTAACATATCCTTACCTCACCTATGATCAACCACCTTAAACCTTTAATAACCCAACAAAACGCTGCTGTGCAGATGATTACCAGCTCCTGTGCTAAACAGCACACCCCACCACTTTTCAAAAGACTGAACTTGCTAAATATACAAGACATACACTCATATTATGTAGGTAGTAGGTTGGTAGAC